AACACCTTACTTAAAAACATATAGATATCAGGTCCTATACCTGGTTCTTATGGGAGATGGTAGTTCACATGATAACCTAAATGTCCAGAGTTTGGTTTGAAATAGGTAAAAACAGCACCATACCTTTCTTTTTTTAAAAAGCTAGAATAATTGTACAGAGACCCAGTGTACAACAGGCTGTGGTCTTTCTTAAAAGTGATTATTCTATCATTGCTATCTTAAATTCCCTCACAGAATTTCCTTAGATCATTAAGGGGCAGAAAATGTGGATGTAATACTTTGTTCCATACAATTTATTTATAAAAGGGTTAATAAAAATGAATAGAACTTTGAACTGCTGTCAAGTTTTGTATCCAAGTAAAATACTCAAACATAATATTATGTGGGGTTTGCACAATTATAATATCTTTTACTTACCATATATTCTATGTCATCTATACCAAATCTTTCTCTTAAATTCTTAAAAACCAGGGGACAATACTCTTTCACTTTAAAATGACTTGGCATAATATCTCTATGGAAAACAAGGCAATGTATAACGACTGTGCTTAATACAAAATTATGACGTCTGTACAGAATGGCAGAACGTGACAGAAGAAAGCATTGAGCCACAATTGTACTGATAAATATACAAATGTGCCATGATTCTTCAAGGTATTAAGGTAGCCAGGAACATGTCTAATTTTCTATTTTCTTTTAAATAAAACAGGGCTTCATTCAAAGATATCTTTTATTCTAGCAGCAAGCTGATATGATGATTGTCTAGAAATATTAATATGTAAATTCTTTTGTATTACGGTACATTTGGTTGAAAAAGCATCCTGAAATACTGACCAATTAAATGATCTTTTTGATAAAAAGTAAAAAAAATCATGAACAAAATTTGAAATTGGACTGTCCCGGAAAATGTTACAAGCAAATGAATTTAATAAAACAAGTACTAGTCGAAGTGATACCGGTATAAAATAAAAAATATATCAATACATCCATAGCTTCATTTAGATCAGATAAAAACGGTATGATATTCTATAGCAACTACAAGAATTTTGGACAGATGTACAAAGGCAAATAGTACATTAAAATATAATAGTAAACCATAAATAGTAAACACTTACTTATTAAACATATGATTATCAACTCTGATTTTACTATATGACTTAAAATCATCTGGCATCAACATGACTTTTTGATTCACATGATCCAATTCATTTATCTGAAAAAAAGTAAAACAACAATAATCCAATAATAAGTGGACTTTTTTGTTTATGATTTGAATTGACCTGAAAAGACCTGTATGTGAGCAGATAATGTTGCTATACTATTCTTGGATGTCTTATTAATCAAGAGAGAGCTATGTAAGAACATAACTTCATCTTTGGAACAATTTCGTTCCACAATACTTTGTCTCACATATGTGAGAGCTTATGTACCGTATTCTATTGGCAGTATAAAACAAAAATTTCCTGGTTGAATTGTAAGATACCAGTAGAGTACAGACTACAAATACCGGTACTATAATTCCAGTGAACCGACTTGGCTTGACTTGTCAGACATTCTTAAGTTATGCGTTAATGTAGAAACTAGAAAATATCATTTTAATCAACCTAAAGCCAATCATAGCAAGGCTCTCACTCTCAGTAGAGTTTGGGATAAAACCATGAATCGACCATTATTGAATGCATGACTTTTCACCACTTTAAGACTCTTAAGAGTGCCTTTGGCCTTTGCATTATATTTTCTATGTACATTAACAGGTTTTTAATTAGTTTATTAGGGGAGGAAACCAACTAGAATAGGGGTGGGAACCACTACATCATACATACCTTTTTGAGTTTATAGTAATTGGTAGGCCTATATCTTACTTTTCATACAAAATAAAAATAATTTGCAAAGAAAAATGTTATTCTGTAAACATTGTGGTCGGACAGTAAACCTTGCATTCAGGTTCAGAAGTTTCAATCTTGCCCTGCATTAATTTGCATTAGAAACATAGGTGAAAATGTACTTACAGTGTGGTTTATACCCCACATAAAAACACTGAGGAGGGGTTCATTTGCTCGAAACAGTTTCAATTTTGGTGCAACAGCCTTGACTTTTAGCTTTTTAGTCGTCGGCCTCGACATTTTTAGGAGTATTGCACTATTCCAAAGAGTAAAGAGAACACAAAGGGGTTAACTAACAGCTTGTCACCACCAATCAATGATTTCTTTCATGTTTTCAAACGATTGTTATGGAAAAGCAAAAAGCCCTTCCTACAAATATGGCGTCAACAACAAAGTGGTCCACAATGCATTGCAAATTCTGATAGAAGGGGCATAACTATCAAAACAATCTAGACAATAATGATGTTGCTCAAGAAAGTTTCTTCACACTCTAGACGAAAGCTGCTACAGGAATTTGTAAGACTGTCTGACATTAGTGTTTATAAAATCGAAAAGTTTTAATGCGATATCTATATTAATTTAGCTTACAAAAGTCAATGATCCGAAGAAATAGAGTAGGCCTAGACAGAAGTGTCAAATAAGTCGATAAATTTCCTTCTTTGTTCTCAAATTGTGTCCGATTCTTTTTTAATTACGGTTTTGTTTTATTTCGATAGCCACAGAATCATAGCATAGAGTTAAACCTAGCTATTTTATAAATTAATGATTACAATTTTTTTCAAATGCGTAGGTTAAACCCCTTCTTACAGGGACCTCAGACCTTATTAAATTATTCTATTTCGGTAATTTTCAATCCTACATTGATTACCGATCCATCACTTGGGATACTTGTAATAATTATTCTTCAGCAGCCCTTAATTAATAGACTTCAAAAATTGGCTCTTAAACTTAATAATTAGCCTATGAAGCAATAGGGGTCTACTTAAATCTAACCATGATCTCTTATCCCATATCATTTGAATAGGCCTATTCTTTTGAATTCAAAAACGTCATTCAATAAATAGGCCTACCGGTACCTATTTCTCTTTAAAATAGCAAATCGTAGTTGTCCATACTATCTTCAAACTATTCTTCAATATAAAAACAAGTTATATGTCGGCCTATCTAATAACCAGAGATTCCTTATTCCAAAATCCATATATAAGAATAGCTTGAAATACAAGCTGTTAATGGAACTTTTTACCTCGATCCTTAAAGAAAATCAATGTTTTTGCAAAATTAGAGGAAACCATCTCTTTTCTTTCTTGAAAAAACAGAACGATATAATGTTGAATGATAAATGTATATAACTTTTTTATTGCTTTCGTGATTGTAGTTTTGTTGTTTTTAGTTTCGTTTGTATCATATGTTGTGTTTCTTTGAAGGGCAAAATTGTAAAAAAGCCGGGCCTTTAAAGATTTTATTATTAGTAGTATTTTATCATTACTACAGTAGGGCACTAACTACACATATGATGTCAAAAACGATAAAGCTGCGATTAGCCTACATGATATCTGAACGTAAGCGTTCCTCAAACTAAACTCAAGCTCGAACTCAAGTTCAAACTCAAACTAGCTGTCCGTAGCCGCTCGCAAAAGCAAAAAATCACCCACTGAGTCATTATGGAGTTTGAGGAAACATGTAAGCAGAAAACTGGATTTGCTACGGATTTGGATATAGGATTTGCTCTGGTCCATTTTTTTATAATTGAGTTTGCGTTTGGGTAATGTAATCGCGGCTTATGTGATGTTTTTTTTAGCAACAAACGGTCAGTGTCATGTGAGATGAAGCTTAACTATAAACTAGTCACGTATTCACGTACGTCCGTCGACTTTTTGGTTCTATTCTCGTTGAATCTTGAATATTTCAGGGTTTGTTTTTCTTGCAAGGAGAAGGCTGACGAATCGCGAGAACGTTCTCATCATGACGAGGTTATTATGACTGGCGGATCGCAGGAACTCCCTTATCGTGACGAGGTCATTAAGCTGGGTTTTATGTGCTGGATCGTGGAATTCAGAAACACCACTGCGTCATTAATTGGTATGAAGGAGGTCTATACCTATACTATCAAAGATGGTCAAAAATTCAACGCTAATGTTATGTAAAGTTGAGTTAAACGCTAGGATTTGCTTTTTATCTTGAGGATCGCGATCTCATCCCGTTTTGTGGAAAGGGGTCACTTAGTCTAAAACTAAGGCTAATTGAGAAATCTAAATTCATGACTGTTATTGTAGGCTTTATGTTTAAAACACGTATTATCTAATTTGATCAACCGTCTGATAAATCTAACGCTCGAGATATTCAAACAAACAGATAAACACAACGTTTAGCCTTTACAAATTACATAACCTTTTGTTTCAGCCTGCACCTAGTACACGAATTAAGGTTATATCTTGAGATTTTTCACACGATATTATGCCACATTATTTACGCCAAATTAAAGTATTAGACTTAATGTTGACCGTAGAAATCTTTAGTCTATATCATATACATAGATAGTATATATCTTATTGAGTCGAAAACAATTCTCAAATGTTGTAGTAGCTCACTGAAAAGTGAAACTCACCCAGTATGGTTTTTAAAACGTGTTATTGGAAGTATGTAACCCACTTTATTTTCTTTGCGAAATGTGTTTCGGCGTATTTTGGAATACTTCCACACTCTAACAAAGTGCAATTACCTTCAGAAGATATCTCTAGATTGATTTTGTCTTTCAATAACATTATAAATGGGTGTGATGAAATTCAATCTGGAACTAGACAACTGTGTAGTTCGGTGGACGACCCGATGTGTTCCCTGTTTTTTTCGTTCGGAGATTTTTGTAGTTCTCAGTGTCGAGATGACAAAACATCCGGAAGAGTATTGATGTTTCTTGATGCTTTAATTACACTTGATTCGTGCTCAACAGTTTTGTCCACTTCCTGTACCAAAAATGATGCTAAATGCCGCACGCTTAGCATCTTATATCAAGAATGCATCCGAAAATTTGACAATTTGCCAACCACGACGAAGAAACCGGTTAGTACAATCGCTAAAGATCAGTCACTTATAGATACGTACAATGACTTTATGAGAGAGTGTGATAATTATCAGTTGGTTGCTCGAGCTTCCTGTACAGCAAATAAGCCCAATTGCTGTATACTTTTTAAAGTAGCAGACTTTTGCTCTTCAAAATGTCGGAAAGGTTTGATACCAGATGGCACAGTGCCGGGCCAACCTATGGGCGGTGCCTCAGCTGGTGACCTAACACAACTTGAAGCAGCCTTGTCATTTAGTACATGTTCTGATGTTGTTAATATAACTTGTACTGATACCAGCTTAGAATGTCAATTGATTCAACTTTTGATTTTGAGCTGTGCAAATGTTTACGACAATTTACCAACTGAATTCCCGATTACATCAGCAATTACCTCCCCAATTACTAGTCCTAGAACGTCACCGACTGTATCACCGACCACAAATGCAGTAATATCACCCAATACAAGCCCTATTACTTCACCAACAACAAGTCCAACAACGTCACCTACTACAAGCCCTATTACTTCACCAACTACTTCACCTACTACAATCCCAGCGGCGTCTCCAACGACTTCACCTACTACAAGCCCAGTCACGTCACCTACTATTAGTCCGACAACTGTGCCCATTATAAGCCCAACGACTTCGCCTAATACAAGCCCAACGACTTCACCTACTACAAGCCCAACGACTTCGCCAAGTACAAGTCCAATAACCTCTCAAACGACCAGTCCAACGACTTCACCAATTACTAGCCCAAATAATTCTCCAGCTACAAGTCCAACAACGTCACCCTCTACAAGCCCAACGACTTCGCCTAATACAAGTCCTATTACTTCACCAAGTACAAGTCCAACAACATCACCTTCTACAAGCCCAACGACTTCGCCTAGTACAAGTCCTGTTACTTCACCTATAACGAGTCCTATGACATCACCAAGTACAAGTCCAACAACATCACCTACTACCAGCCCAGCAACGTCACCATCTACAAGCCCAACGACCTCACCTACTACCAGTCCAATAACCTCTCCAATAACAAGTCCAATAACCTCTCCAACGACTTCATCAATTACTAGCCCAAATATTTCTCCAGCTACAAGTCCAATAACGTCACCTGCAACGAGCCCAATTACTTCTCCAGCAACAAGTCCAATAACATCTCCTTCTACAAGCCCAGCAACGTCTCCAACGACTTCACCTACTACAAGCCGTGTCACTTCACCTACTATTAGTCCGACAACTGTGCCCATTATAAGTCCTACAACGTCACCTTCAACAAGCCCAGCGACTTCGCCTAATACAAGTCCTATTACTTCACCAAGTACAAGTCCAACGACTTCGCCAAGTACAAGCCAAATAACATCGCCTATAACAAGCCCTACAACATCACCAAGTACAAGTCCAATTACTTCTCCAACAACAAGTCCAATAACTTCTCCCATTACCAGTCCAACGACTTCACCAATTACTAGCCCAAATACTTCTCCAGATACAAGTCCAACAACG